CCCAAAACCCGCGTGGTACTCACGTACGGGCCCGCCAAAGTTTTTTTGGGGTAATTTCATAACTCGGGGATCTGAGAGGCTAGAACGCTGAAATCGTAGGGGGATGTCCCCTGTCCGAGTGGGTATTAACGAGTTCAAACTCTGCCCGCAGGTAAGCGTGGTACCTACGTACGGGCTCGTGAAAGTTTCTTCCGGGTAAGTTGCTAAGTTGCTAACTCGAGAACGTGAGAAGCTAGAAGACTGGAATTTTGAGGGGATGTTTCCAGACAGTTCTGGCAGCCAGTCTGAAATTCCTTTCAGCTAGAAGCATCTGCCGAAAAAACCGATGCCGGTAGCGACAGAAACTGCGGCGAACTCTGCAAAAAACGCATCTTCGCACGGGCAGCCGCTAGAAGCATTTGCTGGAAAAACCAGTGCCGTTGGCGACGAAAATCTGCGGGGAGCTACGCAAAAATCCCATCTTCGCACGGGCAACCCATGCGTTGGCCAATTATTATTTTTTTTTTTTTTTGATTTCATGCTATTTTCCATAAAATTTGTTAGAACTTACCTTTAAGCCATATCAGAAGCAATTTTTACGGGAAAACAAACCTGTGATGCGAATATTTGCTGCAATGAGGGGTGAAGGCCTCGCACCGATGCAATCGCAGTCACTACACAGAAAGCAGTGTAGAAGATAGCTTGCATGCATACTATTTGAGCGATTATTAAACCCGGATCCCAGACATAGGAGCGAAACGCATTCATCGCCACTACCTCGCTGCCGTCATCATCATCATCACTGTAATTAATCCATCATCATCATCACCACCATTAACAGAAGCAACAGTAGCAACAAGCGGGAAGAAATAGTAATAAATAGCAACGCGCACCAGACTAGCCGGTGCGATCATGCGTTTTGTGCAATTCAGCCCATCGTGATTGCCTGTTAATGATTTTCACTGCTTTGTACTTTTTTCTATGCAAAAATAGTTCAAAAATTGGAAAATAGTTAAAAATTTCACGCACCAGCACATGAAAGCTGAATTCGAAACCTTGAAGGATGAATATTTTTCCGTGATTCCCAAGCTAATAGTTTACCCGCCAAAATTTTCACAAGGCCGTAGGTGATACTCAAGAGCGTGGGAACGCTGAATTTGGATAGACAAGGTTGAGCGTGGGCAGGGGGTCATTACCCCAAAACTTCAGCCTCCTAGACTCCGTGGTTCTCGAGATATTAATTTACCCGTAAAAAACTTTCACGTGGCTATACGTGTTACTCGCGGGTACCGGGAAGCTGAATTTAAATTTTCGGGATCACACGTGGGTGGGGAGCGTTCCCCTAAATTTTCAGCTTCCCAGCTTTTGTGGTTCCCGAGTTGAAAGCTGGAGACAAGTTGCTGCGGACACACACACACACAAAAACACAGACAACCCCGTAACAATATGCGTTTTGTACTGCTGCTACACAGCACAAAACGTATAAAAAACTACTAAAAAAATGTATATTATTGAAGCTCAGATTATCTGCCGCAGTAAACTGTGTAAAACGGAATACACTTTTTTCCCGAGACAAACACCTCCCGGAGGATGGAGACCTCATCGTGCTCTAGAACTTGCCATGCATACCATGAGCCAGGAGACCTCTTTTTAACAAGACAGAAGACGGGCAACGCAGACCGGCCGAAGCAATTCGTTGCAAAACTGGACAGCCAGACTGATCATCAAAGTTGACCAAAGTATTCCAAGTA